GGCCAATGCCAACAAGAAAAGGGCCTTCGCAAAGCAATCCTGAACTGAGGGGGCCACCACAAACCGAGGAGGAGAGAGAAAGGAAAGCACCTGGTCCAACGACCAGGACAGCTCAGGCGGCGCATGAGTAGACTGGAGGTGAAATGAGGCACGAGATAGCTTGCTGAACAGTGCAGACATAACATCAATGTCAAACGCAAGCTGCAGCGGCTCCACCAGCCAGCGCCGCACGATACGTGGCGACAGTATTTGGCATAAGATGACGGTCTTGGAACAACCATGAAAGGAAGGACAAGACAACCTCATCAGAGACAGAAGTAAACCTATGAAGGGATAAGAAATAACGGAAGGACTGCCAGGAAACTTCATACTGCTGCCGAGATGAAGCACGCACGTGGGACACCATTGACGAAGCTACCTGCTCACCATACAAGTAATGATAGGCCCATGTCAGAAAGACCAGACGTGAAGACTTGAGGAGAAGGTCGAACCAGCTACGTAACAGACTGGCCGGATTTGCTGAAAGAGGTGGAGACGCGGAAAGACTCCCAGGTTTGGACACCAAGCAAGCAGCGCCTGAAACCAAGGCTGGCCCAGCCACCAAGGGGCCAGAAGGACTACTCTCCCTTGGTAAGTCTCCAAGAGGGCTAGGACCTGGAGAAACAGCAGAACCGGTGGGAAGAGGTATAGGTAACCCCACCTCGACCAGCCCTGCCTGAAGGCATCAACCCTGACAGCCTCGCAGTTGGGGAAGGGTGCCACACATATATAGGAAGATGCCGCGACCAAGCCGACACGAAGAGGTCCACGCCCGGGAGCCCATATGTCCAACAAAGCCAACTGAACAAGTCGGTGTCGACCGTCCATTCAGTGGACAGGGGAATAAACCAAGACAGGCCGTCTACCAGGACGTTGGAACCTTCCCCCCCCACCCCCCGAACATGAATGGCCAGGAAAGCCAAACCCCGAGAACTCAGCAGACGAGTCACCTAAAGCGACCAGCCCCAAAGAGCCAAGGACCACATCAAGCCCCCTTGTGGTTCAGGCAATGAACTACCGGGGAGCAGTCCGAATGGAGCTGAATCATCGATCCGCGAGCAACCCAAACCCTCTGAAGCGACATCTACACAGCCACAAACTCCCGCACCATACTGTGTGCTCAATGGAAGGACGAACCCCACTGTCCCTGGCCGGCCTGGTGAACACTGGTCACAAAGCCCCAGCCAAGAGACGACGCGTCCATGAACACATCGAGTGAGGACTTGAGTAGGCGCCAAGGCACTGAACCCTGAAAAATCCAAAGAGAATGCCGGCGATGCAGCAACCGACGCACGGCCCCCGGAGGCTGAACCCAGCGATTGCGAGAAAGGCGGAAGGGATGTCCGCAAAGAAACCAGAAGAGCCGACAAAGCCAAACCTGACCTGGCGGGTAGACCATCATAGTAAAGTTCGCGCTCCTGTACAAACTCTCGAGCAACCACCGTGTGATGCAGAAGCCCCCCCAGAAACAGGCAAACGTGGGACCTTCGTCGATGCAGAACCTCCGGTGGGAGAAACAAGGAAGTGGTCCGAGAAGCCCACACAAGAACCAGCCAAGATCAAATCTGAGAGGGAACCAGATGAAACTTCCTCCAATTCACCAAGAACCAGAACCCAGTGAGCTGGGAAAGAACCAAATTCTTGGGGAGCAGACACACAGACCTGAGCCCACACCAGCCAGTCGTCGAGGTAGGCCAGAACCCGAATCCCTAAAAGATGCAGACGGGCCACCACGACCCAGGTAAGGCATGTGAAAATGCGAGGTGCCAGATTCAAGCCAAATGGAAGGCAACGAAAGCGGTAACCCTGACATCCCAGTACAAAACTGAGCCAATCCCTGAATCCCGGATGAACCGGGATGTGCGCATAGTATTTTGCCAAAAAATGCTATGCGTATTAGTGGCTTTAGGTATTGTATGTACTGTACTAGCTCTATCTGTAAATCCAACTTTATGTTTGTAACTCACCTTCTATGTCTGTACTTTTACCTGAATAAAAAATTTGAATTTGAATTTGAATAAGCATCCCAGTCCAGGGACACCATCCAAGCACCCAGCTCCAAGAGGAGACGGACCTAGGCCAGACTAGTCATCCAAAAGGAGGGGCAATAAGTCCACGGGTTCAGATGGGACAAGTCCAAAATGAACCTGAGGTCTGCACAGTCCCATTTCGGAACCGGAAACAGGTGGGAAACCCACTGGAGGGACAAGGTCGTTTCGACCACACCCAAGCGAGCCCACTCCAAGATGACCCGACAGAACGCAGGAGAAGAAGCCTGCCCTGCCAACCTCGAACCCACCAAAGGAGGAGGGGCCACCCAATGCCACCGTAGGCTGTACGAAAAGACCTGAAAGGCCCACAAATCGTGGGACCAGGCATGAGCAAACAGAGCAAGTCTCCCCTCGTCATCGCCCCTTCAATGGGACAAACTGCGAAAGGGCTGATGCCCCTTACGCATCAGCATGCGCATGAAGCTGCACAACACCGACACCCCGAGGAAAAACAGGGGTGAAAAAGCACGCATTGAGGTGCTCAAAGTTGCCCCCCCCCCCCAGGAAAACCTGGGCCACCGTATGAACCTCGCACCACTCAAGCGCACGGGACCGACAGAACAAGTGCCACGCCTCTAACGAGAAAAAAGGGACAGTCCTCAAGCCAGGACGACTCTGGAACCTCATAACAAACCCAGTAAGGAGAAGATCCAAATGTGAAAGAAGGATCCATTATGGAGGCGTAATCCACGAAGAGCAATGGAGGAGCGCCGCCTCCTATACCTAAATAAGGAAGTGCAGGAGGTAAGCCTCTATGGCCTCCGACACCACATGAGGCAGGATGCGGGAGGCCGAAAACCTCCAGGTCCAACCAACACAAAGCGACTAACACCCCCAAGTCCGGGTCCCCATAACCAAAACGGGGCAGTCTTGGGGCATCGGTGGTAGCAACCAACCTAGCGTGTTGTAGCAACCTAACCCAAGCATGCAACGCTGAAGCTGCCTGCACCCGCATATCATGATCATCGAACTGGGTGAATTGGTGTATGAACAAGGAACAAAACTAGCAAGACTCTGGGTCGAAGGTGTCACTGACCCAACAGGCAGCATGATGGAGGCACAACCAATGAGTGTCACCCTGAGACAAGGGGACAGAGCAACCTACAAACTCTCACAAAGCGAGAGGGGACCCAGGGGTCGCATCCATTGGACTAAGAGCCCCTGCGGGGTTTCCCAGGGCCCTTAGTCGTGTAATTTAGCAAAGGGAAGCCCAGGCAGGGTACTGCTGACCGGCGCCCAAAGTTACCAAGCAAATTGCTAAAGCTGAACCCCCGGGCCGTGTACACTAGGTGGTCCTAGTGGAGGACCACCAAGATATAAATGGGTGTGACCAAACCAAGGAGCAGACCCCCCCCCCCCCCCACCAGGCAGGAAAACAGAAAGAAAACCCCCGCAAGAGGACAACGTGCCCAGGTGGAACAGAACCGGTCGCTATGAGAGATGAAAACTACCTGTACAGTACTCTGCGCCCCAACCAGTGACAAAACTACCTCCTACCCAGAGGCAAACAGTGGTGCGTGAAACACCCCAGCTGACTCCAAAGACGGTCAATCACCAAGCAGCAAAAAACCTAACAGAGGTAGACCCCAAGGTGACTTGTGGAAGGTGGCCCCAAGCCCCAAGGGCAGTACTTACAGGGCACCTAGGGAAGGGGACCTTAAGCGCATGCAACCTGAGTACTATACTTATGAAATTACTCCTGACTCGCAAACCACTTAGTAGACAGGATCACACCATAAGGCACAGAACTGGAAAACAGGAGCCAGAGGTGTACAACCTTACCAGTTCACATCGGCCATAGAACTAGGTGTTTGGATAGCCGGCACAGGGGGTCTGGGGCTCCCCCTCCTCCCAGGGAGGGAGGGAGGGTTGCGCAGACAGCGGCACAGTGAAGTCGTGACATCATACTTGTTAGCTTGTTTTCATTTGGGGAGTTGTCTACTTATTCGGCTTTCTATAGCAATATTTTAACCAGAATAGGAGTTGGTTTTGGGGCGCTTACCTTTCTGGGTGCCTGACCCGGTCGATGGCAGACATAGGATGCTTCCAACCACACCGGGGTTTCTATAGGCCATTGATCCTCGTGCCTCTCTGAGGGGGCCAGATTCTGGCTCATGGTCCCTGGTAGGCCTAGAACTCCATGTGCATTGACTGATGCCAGGGTCTAATACATTCATATTAGCCCGGTTAGCTCCGGGGAGTCGATGGGGCTCCCCCAGAAAATACAGTGTGGAAATCTGTTTGTTAAATCACTTCTAGTCCTGTATCTTAACACTAACCAAAGATATGGGAAAGAAAACTGCCTGATTTCCAGCAAAGACAGATGAAAACCAACAAACTGAACCCAGTTAAATAAGAAGAATCAAACTCAGAAAGTCACAACCCTTTTGAAATCACTGCTTGTTAAATTTAACAACAGAGTTAAACTGATTCCTGCTCGCAACCCATAGAAGTTTTGTTAACTTGGGCTTGAGAACAGACCATTCTGAATTTTCTCTAGATTGATCTCAAGCGACTCTTAAGCATTACAAATAGCGATTCCATATTTTGTGCCCTGTGGCACAAAATAAAAAATTGGTGCAGTAATTTTATTTGCCTGCACCAATAACCATGAATCTAGGTAAGGTACAGTAGGTCACAATACTCATAGGAATGGATAAAACAGTGCAACTAAGAACATCTTACCATACAGTTACTTTGATTAATTTCAATATCGAAAACACCTTTTACTTCAAAATTTAGCCTTTAAGTTTCATGTCAATATGATAGTGCATTCTATAATTACTGAATAGAAATCTTAATTAATATCAAATACAAACAAACACTTTTAAATTAAAAGGTACAGTACTTCTAAATGGGATATATGAACAGGTTTTCTCGAGCATGCATTAGCCCTAGACTCTGACCCACCTGAACACTTTGCCCTGTAGGAAGCAAGAATGTGGCGAGCTACATCAAGTGACACATTGCCAGCCTGGCCTATAACATCCCAGGCAAATTGTACTGTTGCAGCTTCAGTGGCCCATTCATCTGCAATGTTCCTCAATAGTTCACTGCAGCTCCCAGCATCTTCCATATCTTCTGTTCTCATAGCAAAATAATAACCACTATCTGAAACAAGGGTATTGCTGAGCGGGAGTGGGAATTCTTAGACCACCGAAGATCAAGACGCATAAAAATATAAAGTCAAATTATTAAATCTTGCATACTTTCTTCTTCCAAACTAAGTGGTTTGAAATGATCTTAATAATTTTGGTAATTTACTGTGACTGTTTGTGCAATATATAATAATTATAATTCACTGTGACTGGCGACAGGAAGCCAGTGTGTATTCATACCATACATGTTTGACTCTTTGGTGACCCCCCCGGACAAATTATTGACCCTACCTAGGATGCAACTCCACAACAAGCTGACTAACTCCATGCTGTAGTACCTACTCACTGCTGGGTGAATAGAGGCATCAGGTGAACAAATGTGCCCAATCATTTTTGTCCAGCTCAGGATTCGAACCTGGAATTCTCGATTACGTGTCGAAAACACAAGAACATAAGAATAAAGGTAATTGCAGAAGCCCTATCGGCCCATACGAGGCAGCTCCGATTTATATCCACTCGATCTCATTCATATATATGTCTAACTTACACTTAAAACAATCAAGGGATCCTACTTCTATTATGTTACGTGATAATTGGTTCCACAAATCAACAACCCTGTTACAAAACCAGTATTTACCCAGGTCTTTCCTAAATCTAAACTTTTTCCAATTTATACCCATTGTTTTGTTTTCTGTCTTGTGTTGATACTTTTAATACACTACAGTATTAATATTCCCTTTGTTATGTCCGTTCATCCACTTGTACACATCTATTATTTCACCTCTAATTCTTTGCCTTTCTAGATAATGTAATTTAAGCTTTGTCAATCTTTCTTCATGTGACAGCGTTCCAATTTGTGGAATTAACTTTATCAACCTACACTGGATGCGTTCTAGTGAATTCATATCTATTCTATAGTACGGTGACCAAAACTGAACTGCATAATTTACATGGGACCTAACCAAAGCAAGATATAGCTGAACAACACAACCAGGTTTCTTATTACTAACACTTTGATAATTAAATCCCAGTGTCCTATTTGTTTTATTATGAACATCTATGCACTGATTTTTTGGTTTTAAATTCTTACTAATCATAACTCCCAGATTACTATTGCAATCCGACCTCACAATCTCAACACCATCTAGCTCGTATCTTGTAACTATCATCATTACTTAGCCTCAAAACCTTAGAGTTATCAGCATTAAACTGCATCTGCCAATCTTTTAACCATTTCAAAACCATATTTAGATCGTCTTGAAGTGATAGCGAGTCTTTTTCTGTGTTTATTTTCCTCCCGATTTTTGTATCATTGTCAAATTTGAAAATATTGCTGCTCAAACCTGAAATGAAATCATTTATATATACAGTGGAACCTCTATTAACGAGTTTAATCCGTTCTGGCACTGAGCTCGTTACCTGGAAAACTCGTCTTAAGAAACAAATTTCCCCATTTAAAATAAAGGAAATAAATTTAATCCGTTCCACTCCCAAAAACATCCATACTTGTATGACTTTTTTTTATGTAAATATAATACTGCACATGTAAATATAAATATTTTGTTGTAGTGCTTTAATATTTACTTTACCTTATGAACGGTAGTTGCTGGCTGGAGGGAGACGATGGGGAGGTGGGAAGGAGGAGAGGGGTTATGGTGTGGAAGGAGAATCCACCTCTGAGTCAGGCGGACTCTCTCTTGGGAATTTCACCCAAATTTCATTTCAAATGTCACACAAGGATGCGTTAGACCAGCACCAAATAAAAAACTACGTCGATTACACTCGTGTCAACAATATAATAGTCTTACCACGAAGCTACAATACAATGCCGTTTTCTCAAATAGGCAATGTGGTTATTAAAGAAAACGGAAATTTCATGGCAAACATGTATACAATCCCCAAGACGATCGGATAAGAATTGGATTTTATAGAAATATTTGCTCAAATGACAGTTGAGCGCGGTGTTTGGGTGCATTCAAGAGAAAAAAGTGTGTCACGTTCAAGCGACATAGACCTGCGAAAGTGATAACACTTTCATAAAGTGTTATCACAAAGTGATAAATTAATTAACCATTTTCACACACCGGGTTGTCACTGCTTTATCAGGGCAGCTTTTCCAAGAATGCGTTCACCTTTTCAAACATTCCAAACACTTCCCTGAATTCAGTGGAAGAGGCAGCATCCTCCCTTACCTCCTCATTCCCTTACTAATGGTGTAAATTGTTGATGAGACCTGCCATACTCCCTTGTGAGATCAGTCACACAGACACCACACTCATGCTTTGCTATAATTTCCTTCTTCAAATCCACAGTAATTGTGTGTTTCTTCCTCTTGACAACACTAACTTTAGCAAGCAGCTTCTTTAGAGACATCATGTGTTACAAATTGTTGTCGCAAAACCACTAAAAACCCAAAGAAAAGCTCAAATAAATCCAGAGGGATGCTTGTCGTATGCGATACAACAACAACACTGGCGTCGGAGGCGTTCGAGAATTTGCGAGAACCCGCGAGATGCTAGGAAACGCCATGTGGTTTTGCTCGTTAATAGAGGTGAGCTTGTCAATAGAGACAAATTTGCTGCGAGTGGCTTGCTCGTTACTGGAAAAACTCGTTAATAGAGCCACTCGTTAATCGAGGTTCCACTGTATTATGATTAACAGAGGTCCCAGGACAGAGCCTTGAGGCACTCCACAACATTTTCCCACTCTGACTTATTTATACTAACTCTGTTTCCTTTGGTATAGCCATGCCCTAATCCAACTTAATATAGCACCCCCAAAACCATGAACCTCTGTCTTTTTAATCAGTCTTTCATGTGGCACTGTATCAAAACCTTTGCTAAAGTCAAGGTACACAACATCACAAACCTTACCACTATCAACTGCCTCAACTATGCTGGAATAAAATGATAGCAAATTTGTTAAACATGAACATGGCGATTTGTAAAATCATGTTGTGAATCATTTATTAATTTATATTTTTCAAGATGAAGATGAATGGTATTTGCAATTATCGATTCAAGTAACTTTCCCACAAAAGACATTAAGCTAATTGGCCGATAGTTTGACACAAGTACTCTATCTCCTTTCTTGAAAATTGGAACCACCTTAGGAACCTACCACGACTCTGGCACTGCCTGACTAATGATTTATTAAATATGGTAGACAATGGCTCACAAAGCTCCTCTTTGCATTCTTTAAGCACCCTAGCAAACACTTCGTCTGGCCCTGGGGATTTGTTTGGCTTGAGTTTCACTATTTGTTTAATAACATCCTCCTTGGTAACTGCTGAACTTGTCAACCTGTCCTCGTCCCCACCCACATAGACTTGTTTGGCTGAAGGCATAATGTTAAGTTCTTTAGTAAATAGAGATAAAATATTTATTAAAAATACTACTCATCTCTTCGTCATTATCAGTTATCTGATCTGTCTCAGTTTTTAATGAACCTATCCTTTCCCTAATCTTTGTTTGATATAACTGAAAAAATCATTTAGGATTTGTCTTGGCATGCCCTCCTTACCTTTTTTTTTTTTTTTTGCCCTCATTGCCTTTTTCCACTCTTTATGAAAGTGCACTTACTTTTAACATTTTCTAACCAGTTGGATGAATTCTACTTTTAACATTTTAACTTTTAACATTTTCAATTTTTCTTTTTCTTAACATCTTTCTTAACATCTCAACTTTTAACATTTCTAACCAGTTGGATGAATTCTTGTTCTAAATTGACTTCCCATTCTTAATCCTTTTGTACCAAGCTCTTTCTACCTGTAAGTTTCTTCAGATCCTTTGTTATCCATTTTGGGTCATTATTATTTGATTTATTCAATTTGAATGGTACTGTATACTACGTTCCTATGCTTTACATAGAATATTTTTAAGGAAGTTATATTCTGAATCCACATTGAAATCCCTTTTTACATCACCGATTGCTGGGAGTCACGTCTTGCTCCAAGACCGGCCCACCCCCCATGCCCAGGACTTTCTAATCTATTTCACCCAAAAATTTCTTAGGCCAATAAAATCAGTTTTTTGAAAATCTGGCACTTTAACAGAATTTTCTCCTACGAATCTATTCCATTCTATGCTAAATCTGATTTCTTTGTAATCACTGTTCCCTAGCTCACTCTCTATTTCGATGTCACTAATTTCTGTTTCCCTGTTAATGAACACAAGTCTAAAATATTATTTTCATGCATTGGTAACAATGTATTCACCTAGTTGTGCAACACACACACATCCTTAGGAAGCAGCCCATAGCAGCTATCTAACTCCCAGGTACCTATTTACTGCTAGATAACAGGGGCATCAGGGTGAAAGAAACTCTGCCCATTTGTTTCCGCCTAGTCCGGGAATCATACCCGGGCCACAGGATTACGAGTCCCGAGCGTTATCCACTCAGCTACCAGACCCCCCCCTAAATGTGTTGTGTTGATGTGTTGCAATCAGGGAAGCAGGAAAGCAATCGTCAATTAATTCTAGAATTTTTTTTACTTCATTATTCCCTGTTCTATTAAGCCAGTTTATTAAACTAAAATTAAAGTCACCCATAACACAAATACTATTTGACCTCAATGCTCTAGATATTTCATCCCATAGACAGAATGGAAGCAAAGCATCTAAGTTTGGTGGCCTGTAAGTTTGGTGGTCTCCTGTTATAAGATTTTTAGCCTTTTTGTTTAATTCTAGCCAAATAGTTTGAGTGACTCGGTTTTGATTCCCTTTTTGAGACTAACAGTTTAAACCCAAACAAAACTCTACCTGCTTGATACCTGCTTGATGGGGTTCTGAGAGTTCTTCTACTCCCCAAGCCCGACCCGAGGCCAGGCTTGACTTGTGAGAGTTTGGTCCACCAGGCTGTTGCTTGGAGCGGCCCGCAGGGCCACATACCCACCACAGCCCGGCTGATCCGGAACTTCTCTTAGAAAACAGTCCAATTTTCTCTTGAAGATGTCCACGGTTGTTCCGGCAATATTTCTTTTAGTCGCTGGGAGGACGTTGAACAACCGTGGAC